TGTTGTTAGTGGCTGTTAAGAGGGTTAGTGGTGACTGTTGTTAGTGCTTGTAAAGAGGGTTAGTGGTGGCTGTTGTTAGTGCTTGTAAAGAGGGTTAGTGGTGATTGTTGTTAAGCGGTTGGTATGAGGGTTAGTGGTGACTGTTGTTAGTGCTTGTAAAGAGGGTTAGTGGTGATTGTTGTTAGTGGTTGTTAGGAGGGTTAGTGGTGACTGTTGTTAGTGCTTGTAAAGAGGGTTAGTGGTGATTGTTGTTAGTGGTTGTTAGGAGGGTTAGTGGTGATTGTTGTTAGTGGTTATTAAGAGGGTTAGATGGGTTGGTACTGTTTAAGTATCCTGATACTTAAGCAGCACCAACCCAACAACACAGGAGCCACGTGATTTCATCGTCTACCCGTCCTCATCATAGGCAGAGGTTGTTTTTGATAAGGACCTGCTTCGCATGGGCCAGTAGGCCTTCAACAGTGTTCCTCCATTCTTATGTTCTTATGACATTCCTCAGGTCACGTGCGTCACATCTCACTCTCCGCCTATATATATAATGTCATCCTACCTCTGTATGTTAGAAGTGATCAAGGTCCCAGGACCGAAACGTTTTCTAATAAATATGTTATAGTGTTTGCTTACGTGTCTTTCTAAACCAACTTGTCGGTATTTATTACCAAGGTTTATAACATCGTAAGTTGTATCACCCATGTTATATATATAGGATCTCTTCAGCTAGGCTCAGTGACTAGTTTGTGACGTCACCAAGCTATTCCCATGTGAGTAGGGTATGAGAGACACCCTCTCTCACTTCGTCCTCAGACACAGACAAGAACAGGTAGGCTGGGCTATCTCCCAGGTAGGCTGGGCTATCTCTCAGGTAGGCTGGGCTATCTCCCAGGTAGGCTGGGCTATCTCCAGGTAGGCTGGGCTATCTCCCAGGTAGGCTGGGCTATCTCCCAGGTAGGCTGGGCTATCTCCCAGGTAGGCTGGGCTATCTCTCAGGTAGGCTGGGCTATCTCCCAGGTAGGCTGGGCTATCTCCCAGGTAGGCTGGGCTATCTCCCAGGTAGGCTGGGCTATTTCCCAGGTAGGCTGGGCTATTTCCCAGGTAGGCTGGGCTATCTCCCAGGTAGGCTGGGCTATCTCCCAGGTAGGCTAGGCTATTTCCCAGGTAGGCTGGGCTATCTCCCAGGTAGGCTGGGCTATCTCCCAGGTAGGCTGGGCTATCTCCAAGGTAGGCTGGGCTATCTCCCAGGTAGGCTGGGCTATCTCCCAGGTAGGCTGGGCTATCTCCCAGGTAGGCTGGGCTATCTCCCAGGTAGGCTGGGCTATCTCCCAGGTAGGCTGGGCTATCTCCCAGGTAGGCTGGGCTATCTCCCCTCACGACTCTGCCACTAGTGTTACCACCCAACCAAGTGCATATAACTTCAACCGTCATATCTCCAAGGAATCTCACACGATAGTGGTTGTTGATAGTGTTGGTGGTTGTTACTGTGAGTGGTTGTTAGTGTTGGTGGTTGTTCATGGTGGTGGTGGTTGTTAGTGTTGGTGGTCGTTAGTATGGGTGGTTGCTAATGGTAGTGGTGGTTATTAGTGGTTGTGATTGTTAGTGGTGGTGGTGGTTGTTAGTGGTGGTGGTTGTTAGTGGTGGTGGTTGTCAGTGGTGGGGGTTGTGGTTGTTAATGTTGGTGGTTGTTAGTGGTGGTGGTGGTTGTTAGTGGTGGTGGTGGCTGTTAGTGGTGGTGGTGGTTGTTAGTGGTGGTGGTGGGTGTTAGTGGTGGTGGTGGTTATTAGTGGTGATGGTGGTTGATGGTGGTTGTTAGTGGTGTTGGTGGTCGTTAGTGTGAATGGTTGTTAGTGTTGGTGGTTCTTAGTGGTGGTAGTGGTGGTTGTTAATGTTGGAGATTGTTAGTGTTGGTGGTTGTTAGTGTTGGTAAGGGTTGTTAGTGTTGGTGATTGTTAGTGTGGGTGGTTGTTAGCGTTGGTGGTTGTTAGTGTTGGTGGTTGTCAGTGGTGGTGGTGGTGGTTGTTAGTGTTGGTGACTGTTAGTATGGGTGGTTGTTAGTATTGGTGATAGTGTTAGTGGTTATTAGTGTGGGTAGTTGTTAGTGTTGGAAAGGGTTATTATTGTTGGTGATTGTTAGTGTTGGTAATGATTGTTATTATTGGTAAGGGTTGTTAGTGTTGGTGATTATTACTGTTGTTAAGGGTTGTTAGTGTTGGTGATTGTTAGTGTGGGTGGTTGCTAGTGTTGGTGATTGTTAGTGTGTGTGGTTGTTAGTGTAGGGGATTGTTATTGTTAAGGGTTGTTAGTGTTGGTGGTTGTTAGTGTGGGTGGTTGTTAGTGTTGGTGATTGTTAGTGGGGTGGTTGTTAGTGTAGGTGATTGTTATTGTTAAGGGTTGTTAGTGTTGGTGATTGTTAGTGTGGGTGGCTGTTAGTGTTGGTGATTGTTATTGTTGGTAAGGGTTGTTAGTGTTGGTGATTGTTAGTGTGAGTGGTTGTTAGTGTTGGTGA